GAGGATGAAGAAGGAGCAGGAGCAGTAGGAGGTGGAGGAGGACAAGAAGGAGGAACAGGAGGCAGACGAGGAGGAGGAGGAAGAGGAGGAGGAGGAGGAAGAGGAGGAGCAGGAGGCGGAGGGGCGGAGGAGGGGGAGGAGTAGGAGGATGAAGGAGGAGGAGGAGAAAGATGAGGAGGAGGGGCAGGAGAAGGAGGAGGAGCAGGAGGTGGAGGAGGAGGAGGAGAAGGAGGATGAGGAGGAGGAGCAGAAGCAGGAGGCGGAGGTCAAGGAGGAGGGGGAGGAGAAGGAGGAGGAGGGGGAGGAGAAGGAGGAGGAGGAGGAGGAGGAGGAGGTAGACGAGGAGGAGGAGGAGGAGGAGGAGGAAGACCAGGAGGAAGAACAGGAGGCGTAGAAGGAGGAGGAGGAAGAGGAGGAGGAGGAGGAGGAGCCTCGAACCTCGAGCCTCGGGCATGGGCCCCGACCCCAAACCCTCGGCAGGGGGGGGAAGGCTTCTTAGGAGCACCCTGCTGCTTGGAAGGCGCGGGCCTGTTCTACTGATGTTTGGCGGGCGCCTTCAAGGAAGCAGCCTCCGTTCTGCGAAGCCTTCCCCCTTCCCCTTGCCCCCTTGCGCGCGCCGCTAACAGGAGTGAGTCCTCCAAGAGGTCTACAGAGTTTGCCTGTTTTTGTGATTGTTTGTTCCCCGGCTCAAGTCAGTGGGTACGCAAGGGTGTTCACGGTTCGGTTGGTTCGGTTACGTCGCAGTTGTTTGTGTTTGGTCGGTTCGGTGTTGTCGGTGATTGTGTCGTTGTTGCGTCGTTGCGCCTTTCCAGGTTGCTTTGGTCTTGTGGATTATGGTCGGTTTCGGTTTCGTTGTCGATTTGGTCGGCTTTCCGTTTTGCCGTCTCCGTGCGCGGCCTTGGATAGCAGTGGACACGGAAAGAATCGGCACAAAGACCGACAGCAGATCCTGCTCATTTTGAACAGGACTCGCTGTCGGCGCCTGCCAAATTGCGGCCGCTGTTGGCTCTGGGCAATTGCCTGTTGTTGGGCATTGGATTTGTTTTTTCCGTACCCATTTTGGGCGTCCAAAGTTGGGGTTCGGGGGGGGCGCATGGTTCCGAGGTTCTGGTCGTTCTCCGGGGATCTCTCGTGCGTTCTCAGGACTCCAGGGTCCCAGAACCCTGGTGCGACAGACCGCGCGGTGCGGTTCGTTGGGGATTTCGAGGTCACCATGCTGTCTGGCACATCACCGTGTTTTTGGAGCCCGAAGTCCTAGAAACGGGGGAAGACTCTGCGGAGGAGAGTCAGCAACATGGCCGCGGGGAAGCATCCTGGGCAAGATGAGGGGTGGATAGACTCAGGGGGGAACGCATCGGCCTGTCGGCGATCCATCGGCGATGTATCGCCGATTCCAGCTCGATGCTCCCCCCCCTAAGTTGGTCCCCCCCAACGCTGCCCCTTAACAGCGTCGTGTCGATTCATTTCTCGCGTTTTCCATGTTTCTTGTATGTTTGTTCAATCGTTTTCGTTGGTTCCTTGCGGTTTGCTTGCCTCGGGACGCGTGTCGTGTTCCAGCTGCTGCGTCTCGCCTGGGGCGATCCCACGATTGGGAAGCCTTCGCAAGATTTCGGAACTTCTTGTTGGTTCCCGGACATGTCTCGCCTCGGGATGCGTTCCAGCAGTTGCGCTTCGCCGAGGGCTTGTGATTGGGGTGCCAGAGTCGTCTCGATCGGCCGCCATCGGCCCGAACTACAGGCCTCGGAACAAATTAGCGAGCATTCATGCCACATTCATCTGTCAACGCCTCCCCTTCCCCCAATGTTCAGAGTGGCGGTGGGTCTGATGCGATGCACTTCGGCCGCAGTCTCCCCCGCGCGTGCCAACACTGAGTGTGGGGGGGAGGGGGGGGGGGGTGTTCAGTTATGGTTTCCCTCTGCCGTATCCAGGTGACCCGGGCGGCCTTGCCCAAGTTCCGTGCGCATTGGGCTCGGGAGCGGCGTGCAAGCGCGGGCGCGGCGCATGGCTCGATCGCCGAGTGCGCCTGAACGTGACGGCGGCAGCGGGGCGGCGCAGGAGCCGGCGAAATGCCGACTTCGCCCGAACGCCGCGCCCCTTGGTAACGCTCCGGAGGTGAGGAGGAGGAGGAGGAGGAGGAGGAGGAGGAGGAGGAAAAGGAGGAAGAAAAAGAAAATGAGGAGAGGAGGAGGAGGAGGAGGAGGAGGAGGGGGAGGAGGGGGAGGAGGAGGAGGAGGAGGAGGAAGAGGAGGAGGAATAGGAGGGTCGGGGGGCAGAAGGTGTAGGGGAAGGGGGAGGACGGGGAGGACGTGGAGGAGGAGGAGGAGGAAGGAGGAGGTGGAGGAGGAGGTCTCGGACCCCCCTCTTCCCCCCGTACTCCCCCGCGAGGCCGCCAGCGCCACCCCCGCCGTGGCGCGCGAGCTCTCCTCCGTCATCGGCGCCATCGCCGCCGGCGCCGCCGCCACAGGTCCCCACCCACGCTGGCGGCGCGGCGGGGGGGGGGTCGAGGAGGGCGGAGGGGGGAGGAGGAGGGAGGAGGAGGGGCAGGAGGAGAGGAGCAGGAAATAGTTCGAAGCCGAGCTCATCTCCTTTCAGAGGGGCTTGGCGGAAGTGATCGCACGGGTAGGGTAGGTGGTGGCGAGATGAGCAGGGTAGCAGTTAGCATAGTACAGCGCAGAGGGTGGGTGATTGCGAAAGCGCGCCAGTGGATCTCCCTGAATACACCAAAGGGGGGGGTGGCAGAACCCCCCCCCCCTTCCAAGGAGGGGGGGTCCCGGACCCCCCCCCCCCCCCTCCCCTCCCCTCCCCCCCTCCCCCCTTGGCGCTGGAAAGGGGAGGGAGGGTTCGGACCCCCCCCTCCCTCCCCCCCTGTGCGCCGGAAAGGGAGCCGCCGAGGGGGGGCCTCTCTCGCTTCTCTTTTCTGCGCCAGAGAATGTGTGTAGGGAGTACGGAATTGGGTGTAGGGAGTGGTGAGTAGTGAGTATTGGGTAGTGAGTACTGGGTAGTGACTGGCGAGTAGGGGGTAGGGAGTAGGGAGTGGGGAGTAGTGAGTAGTGAGTAGCGAGTAGTGTGTACTGATAAGTGAGTAGTGAGTGGCGGGTGGTGCGTAGTGAGTAGTGAGTAGCGAGTAGTGAATAGTGAGTACTGAGTAGGGAGTAGGGAGTAATGAGTAGTGGGTAGTGAGTAGTTGGTAGTGAGTAGTGGGTGGCGAGTAGTGATTAGTGAGTATTGAGTAGTGGGTAGTGCGTAGTGAGCAGTGAGTAATGAGTAGTGAGTATTCAGTGGTGAGTAGTGAGTAGTGAGTAGACAGTAGCGAGTAGCTAGTAGTGACTAGTGCGTACTGAGTAGTACGTGGTGCGTAGTGAGTAGTGAGTAGTGATGAGTAGAGAGTAGTGGGTAGTGGCAGCGGGTAGCGTGTAGTGAGTAGCGAGTAGGGAGTAGCGTGTAGTGAGTAGTGAGGAGCGAGTAGGGCGTAGTGGGTAGTGAGTAGGGAGTAGAGAGTAGTCAGTAGTGAGTAGTGGGTAGTCATGAGTGAGTCACGATTACGGAGTAGCGAGTACTGAGTAGGGAGTAGGGAGTAGGGGGTAGTGAGCAGTGAGTAGTAAGAAGTGGGTAGCAATTACTGGGTAGTGAGTAGCGATTAATGAGTCGTGAGTAGTGGGTGGTGAGTAGTGAATAGTGACTAGTTACTCGTGGCCTGTGACTAGTGGCTAGAGATTATGTAGTGACTAGTGATTAGGGAGTAGTGAGTAGTGAGTAGTGAGTAGCGGGGAGTGAGTAGTGAGTATTGAGTAGCGAGTATGGGGGTAGCGAGTTGTGAGTACTGAGTACTGTGTAGTCAGTACTGTCTAGGGAGCAGCGAGTAGCGAGTAGTGGGTAGTGAGTATTGGTTTGTGGGCAATGAGGATTGAGTAGTGTGTGTGGATAGTGGGTAGTGGGTGATGAGTAGTGATTAGTGAGTAGGGAGTAGTGAGTAGTGCTTAGTGAGTAGTGAGTAGTGAGCAGTGGGTAGTGACGAGTGAGTAGTGAGTAGTGAGTAGGGAGGAGGGAGCAGTGAGTAGTGAGTAGTGAGTAGCGACTAGTGGGTGGTGGGTAGTGAGTAGTGGAAATCGAGTAGTGAGTCGTGAGTAGTGAGTAGGGGGTAGTGAGAAGTGAGTAGCGAATCGCGAGTAGTCAGTAGTGGGTAGTGAGTAATGAGTAGTGAGTGCTCTTTGGGGTTGGAGCTAATGGTTGGGGTTAGGGTTAGGGGTTTGGGTTGGGGTGAGGACTAGGGGTAGGGGTGGCGGGGGTCGGGTTCTGGAGTCAGGGGGCGGCGTGGCGAAAAAGGGGAAGGGGGGGGGGCGGCCAAAGGGGGGGAGGGGGGGGGTCGGACCCCCCCCCTTTTGAAAGGGGGGAAGGGGGGGGTCCCGACGACGGACCAGGAAAGGGTGAAGGGGGGGGGGTTCCCCGACGACGGATCGGGGAAGGGGGGGGGAGGGGGTTTTTCCCGACGACGGATCGAGGAAGGGGGGGAGGGTCCCACCCACCCACCCCGCCTTGGGGAGATCCAGCGGCGCACCCTCGGTGATTGCACCTTGGCCCAAAAGGAGAAGATTAAGAAGAAGAAGAAGAATAATAAGAAGAAGAAGAATGAGGAGGAGGAGGAGAAGAAGAAGGAGGAGGAACAGAAGAAGAGGAGAGGAGGATAAGTAGGAGGAGGAGAAGATGAGGAAGAGGAGGAGGAAAAGGAGGAGGAGGAGGAGGATAATAAAAAGAAGGAGGAGGAGAAAAAGGAGAAGAAGGAGGAGGAGAAGAAGAAGGAGACGAAACAGAAGAAGGAGGAGGAGAAGAAGAAGAGGGGGAGGAGGTGTGGCCAGAGACTGCAGAGGGTATGGTTGCGCCGGGCTGTGGTTTCCGCTTGCCGCCGTTGGGCCTGGGGGGCACGACGCTGTCCTCGTCGGGGCGCGGCGGAGAGCTCTGTCGAGGTCCTCGCCCACCCCGCAGGGTGCCCCCCAGGGTGTCGGTTGCAAACCACGCACTTTACAAGCCACTTTCTTCGGAGTCGCCGAAGGGTGGGGGGGATGGTGGGGGGGGGTAGATGGAACACCTCGTCGGATGGAGCACCTTATGAGCACCTCGTCGGATGGACGTCCCCACTACCATTTTCCTTTTCCTCTATTCGTGTCTGATTCGGACTTTCCTCTCCACTCCCTCAGAGGGCAGTGCACCTCATCGTCCTCTCACTCCACTCTCCCCCCTCTTCTCCCCCTCCTGCCGCTCCTCCGTTCTCCTTTTCCGCTTCTTTTCTCCTCTGCCCTTTGAGGAAGAGGTGGCTGGAGGGTTGAGAATGGTTACGTAGCGAAGGAACATGTGCCGATGCCGCTGAGGACCAGACTAACGCAAGACTCATCAGCGATGCTGCCGTGCACCCTCCCGTCCCAAGCCCACTCCTCACAAGTCTCCACAAGCCTCCCTTCCCATTGCAAGAAACGTCCCCCAGCATGACCATCGCCGCATGAGCCTGCCGTCGGCGAGAGCCACGATTTGAAGAGGAACAGCCTTGTATCTGTCCTGCGCGTATGTCGGAATGTGGAAAGGTATTCAGGAGGGAAAGAAACACACAGACACAAATAATCGTCGACTCCCAAAAACTATGGAAAAATGGGAAGGGGGGAAGACACAATTCCAGAGCATACGGGAAAATATTGGGAATATGGTTATTTGTGTTCATTTATGCGTGCGTGTCCCAGTTCCCCTTCAGGTATGATCACACAGCGGAACGAGGCGTTTAGCGATATCCCCGTTCTGAGCAGGACCGCCCCTCCTGCATACATGTTGCACAACCTTACCCTTCAGGCCATGAGCTTCGACGACGTGACAAGCGAGAGCCCCGTGTTGAAGACAGTGTTGTCAAGAGGCAGCCCCAATTTGAGCAATGAACCGCCCTCCACCCTCGAAGGCGTTGCAAAACTGATGCGCGCGGCGCTAAGGCGAATTTAGGACATGATGGGTGCTTCACTCTTGTGTATGCTTCACACCTTAGTGTCATGGCGCCAACATCGCAGAGCGGATTTCGTTCGGAAAACAATGGGATGGATTCGGATTGCAAAGTGATTTTCGTGCGGATTTTGTTTGGCCAGGGATGAAGACTAGAACAAATCCACGCAACAATCCGCTGCAGCACGTCTGCAAGGTCGGTGCAGTGATTAGTGGGCCCCAGAAGCGACAGGGCCATTTCTTCATCGTTTCCAAAAATTCTCTTGAGCACTGAAACGGTAGAGAAACGGCAGTCAGGAAAGTCACAGAAACGGCAATGGAAGCAATGAAGAAATGGCAGCGGACAGGGCATTCGGCGAGTGCGGAAACGACAAAACAACGGCGATCGGAATCGGCAAAGAAACGGTAGCCTCCTGTGTAGTTTCGACGGCACGGACTATATAGTTAACGGAAGTGGAAGCAGGAAAACACCGCAGCCGGAAATTGCAAAGACACGGCGATGGATACCATCCGGAAACGGCGACAGAAACGACAACGAAACGGTGACGGAAACGGTAACCAACGGCGCGGCGGGAAATTGTAAAGAAACGGAACACGGAAACGGTAACGAAACGGCCCTTGTCGTTTCGAGGGCCTTTTGAGTTGCAAATTTTTACGACGACTGTGCGCGCGAAGGTGAGAGCTCAAACTTGAACATGCCCCCCTTCGTCCGTGTGCAAATGCCAGTACTCAGGGTCATGGGCGGCGAGTGCGTCTCAGGAGTCACGCCTGGCCCGCCCTACCGACTCGTCTGGGGGTACGACAGGCAGCACTTATCTACGGGGAGAAGGGCTAGTGGAGGAGGAGGAGGAGGAGGAGGATCAGGAAAATGGAGGGACGGGAGGAGGAGGAGAAAGGTTAGAAGTAGTAGGAGGGAGGAGGAGCAGTAGTAGCAGGAGGAGGACCAGTGCAAACCCAAGACGCATCAATGGTCTTGCAATACACCCTCCACCACGTTCCCTCTTCATAAGTCCCTATAGATATTGAAAGTTATTGCGGGAAGTACCCCATTGGAAGACAACAGTTTGGGAATCCCCAACCGTTGCACAGCAGCGTTCTTGAACATACAACGCCGCTGATCAACGTGACGGTTGCGTCGTGACAGTGCTGCATCGTGTTAGGATACCATTCTTGGTACTGCAACACCGCGAATATATGTGACTGTTGCGTCCAAACAAGTTTGATCCGTGCCAGAACCGCATTCCTGGGATTTGGGCCACAAGATTCCTTGACACGGGTACAAACCTTCAAGACGGATGTGCATTGCGCTCCAGCGAAAGCCACAGTTTGAAAAGACGTCGCCCTCCATCCGTGAAGCCCGTGCACAGCGATTAAGACGAATGTGCGTTGCGTTGAGGCGAGATCCACATTTTGCAGATAAATCGCCCTCCACCCCTAAAGCTGGTGCACACTTTCAAGACGAATATGCGCGGCTCTATGGCGAGAGCCGCAGTTTGCAAATCACCCGCCCTCCATCAGTGAAACTGTTGCGAATTGCAAACGAGGCAGTGCCAGGCGGCACTTCGGACACGTCTGGGGGTTTGCGACAGAGATGAGTTGTTCATGAGGAGAAGGATGGAGGAGGAGGAGGACGAGGAGGAGGAGGAGGAGGCGAATGAGGAGAAGGAAGAGGTGGAGGAACACAAGAAGGACGAGGATGAGGAGGAGGAGGAAGGAGGGAGGAGGGATGAGGAAGGACGGGAGGGAGGGAGGGAGGAAGGAGGAGGAGGAGGGAGGGAGGGAGAAAGGGGAGGAGGAGGAGGGGGAGGGGGAGGAGGAGGAGGAGGAGGAGGAGGAGGAGAGGAGGAGGAGGAGGAGGAGGAGGAGGAGGAGGAGGAGGAGGAGGGAGGAGGAGGAGGAGGAGGAGGAGGGGAGGAGGGAGGAGGGAGGAGGAGGTAGGAGAGGTTGAGGGATGAGGAGGAGGAGGAGGAGGAGCAGGAAGAGGAGGAGGAGGAGGAGGAGGAGGAGGAGGAGGAGGAGGGAGGAGGAGGAGGGAAGAGGAGGAAAAGGGATTGTGCTGGATTGTGCTGCTCAGTGCTCACGCAGATGGAAAATACCACGGGAGGAGGGAGGAGGGAGGAGGAGGTGCAGGGAGGAGGAGGAGGAGGGGAGGAGGAGCAGGAGCAGGAGCAGGAGCAGGAGGAGGAGGAGGAGGAGGGGAGGAGAAAGGGGAGGGAGGAGAAGGAGGAGGAGAGGGGAGGAGAAGCATCGAGCAGAAGGTGGAGGAGGTGGAGGAAGAGAAGGCCGACGGCCCGCGGCCGCCCCCCCCAAGGGCCGACGCGGCGCGAGGGCGCCTCGCGGTCTGCGAGCCCGAGCCCCGAGGACGCTTCTCGCCGCTCGGGCGAACGGCAAGGGGCGGACAGGACGAACAGGACGAACAGCACAGGACGTCCACGGTTCCATGAATTCCATGGCGTTTCGTTTTTCTCAAAACATTCGGAGTGTGTTTGTTCTTTTTTCAGTTTTTCTGGTTGCCGTCGACCAACACGGACACATTCAACAACGAATCGTGTTCGATCTGACAAACAAACGAAGAAACCGGAGTGCCAAAGCCGGGGTGGCAGCTGCGCCTTTGCCACCCCTGCCTGAGGAGGAACCTCCCAGGGAACAGGAACGGCCAGAAGCTGTGAGGCCCCCGCGCCGCTGCGGCCCCCCCCAGCGGGCCCCAGCAGCCCCCGCCGAGCGGGGCGGGCGACAACGGGAACGGGGCGGAGGGGGGCGGCCCGGGCGGGCCTCCTCCTCCTCCTCCTCCTCTTCCTCCTCCTCCTCCTCTCCTCCTCATCTCCTCCCCTCCTCCTCCTCCTCCTCCTCCCCCATCCTCCTCTCCCTCCTCCTCCCCCTCCTCCTCCTCCACCTCTTCCTGGGGGGAGCGAGGCCTGCCGGAGGGCGGCCCTAGCCACGGGCCCCGAGCGGCCCCCCCTCCCCCCGCGAGCGAGCCTGTTTTCCCCGAGGGCCCCGCGACCGGCCCACGGCGGCTGGCGGCCGTCAAGCTGGCCCCTGGCCCGGACAGTGAACGAGCTGGGATTCATCGGGGTTCAAGCCCTCCACCTCCATCTTCCAAACCTGCCGACCTCCGCGGAAGGCGCGGAAGGTGCTGCATTGAAGTTGTTGAAAGCCCCAGGAGGTTGAAGAAAAATCAGCGTTTCACGAGACGCAGGAACGTGGAAGGACAGCACGGAAGGACTGGAAGAGTGAGGGCGAGGGAGAATCGAAGAAGAAGAAGAAGAAACGCCATAAACATACATGTTTGGCGCTCCGCGCGTATTTCTTGAATCCGCGCTGGGCCCCTGCCCCCGGCGGCGGCTCTGGCGCCGCCCCTGGCGCGCTCCGCGCGCCAGGGAAGGGGGGGTCCAGCGCGGATCCAAGAAATCCGCGCGGACGGGCGAACGTGTCTGTTTTTGCCGTGTTTTTTTTTCTCGATATTCGGGCCACTGCAAACGAGGGTCAGTCAGAGCGGCGGATCTCGCAGGATCCTGCAGGGCCAGGGGTGCACTGACCCCGGTTTGGGTGCTTGATCCTGCAGGATTCTGCAAGGCCTGACTGACCCAGGTTTGCATTGACCTGGGTCAGTAGACCCCCTAATTCAGAAGTCGGGCCAACCCTCAGCAGCGGAGGAGGAGAGGGGGTCGGACGGGGCTAGGACGAGGACAAATCCGTTCCAGAGTCTTCCGTAGCGCTCTCGGGAGCGTTCCGGATCGCTCTGAGAAGGCCGCGACTACATCCTCCAGAGCCGCCAGATCTCAGAGAGTCTCGATGTATCACTACCCGAGTTTACCTTCGTCCTGGCTCCGTCTCAGGGGGGGACGGAGGGGGCGGCGGAGAGAAGGGAGGGGCAAGAGCTGCCAACAGCCCAGCGACTCACAGCCGCGGAGCTCGCAGCGCTGCACGCCCTAGTCCTGGTCGGGAGTCGTGCTGCACCCCATTTGTGTCGCCGGACGTCGCGCGGTGTTCCGCCGTTGTCCGCCGTGCTGCTCACAGCCGGGCCGCTCGCCGCAGTGCACGTCCACCTTCTGCGTGCCAGAGTCGGGCTGCTGATCACCCACCCTCATTCTTCCAGACCTTCCGTGCCGACCTTCCACACTCTTGCGCCTCGTGGGAGGCCGAGTTTCCTTGCGTTCCCCGAGGCTTCCAATAGTTTCAATGCATCACCTCCCGCGTCCTCCGCGGAGGTCGGAAGGTATGCAAAGGTGGAGGTGGAGGGTATACTCCGTCTCATCTGGGAGGCCTCTATTCAGGCCCTCTATGGGACCCAGGACCGTCTAGCGAGGACCCGAGTCGAGAAGCCGGCCCTGGGCAGGGAGTCGCGACGTTCGGGGGCCGCGCACGGAGGGATCCCTACCGTGCTGCTGGCCGCATCCGAGCTGACCGCAGACGCGCTGCTCGCCACACGCTGCCCGGCCTCGGCGTGGCGCCCTGAAGCGCGCCATGGCCAGGGCCCGCCACCCCTGCGCAGCCAAGCCAGGCGGCGCTGGCCGCGGCGGGGAAGAGACCCCGCGGGCTGCTGCGGCTGCCGCCGGCTAAAGTGGCCGCCCGGGGGTGGAGGGTTTCCCCGAAGGGCTCAGGCGACCCGTCCTCCTCCTCCTCCTCCTCGTCCTCCTCCTCCCCCTCCTCCCCCTCCTCCCACCTCCCCCTCCTCGTCCTCCTCCTCCTCCTCCTCCTCCTCCTCCTCCTCATCCTCCTACCTCCTCCTCCTCCTCCTCCTCCTACCCACCTCGTCCTCCCCCTCCTCCTCTCCTCCCTCCTCCTCCTCCCCCTCTCCTCCTCCTCCACGTCCTCCACCTCCTCCTCCTCCCTCCTCCTCTCCAGCGGCGGCCGCGTGTCTGCCGCGCGCCGGGAGCACATTGATCGGGGGCCGGCGCAACCCCCCAACCCCAGGACAAGCACGCCGCTCAGCGGCGAGCAAGCCCCGGAGCCGAGGGGGTGCGCCGACCGGGGCCTCTACCTCGCATACACGGGAGCACGGCGGCGACGCCCAGCAAGGCGTAGCCGAGGGCGAGCGCCGGTCGCCCGCCCCCGGCGCCGCCCGCAGCTCCGCGCGCGCCAGCCGCCGTCGGGCCCCAGTGGCCCGGCACCCCGGGCCCCGCGGCCGCGGCCAACCCAGTTCCCCGGCGGGGCAGCAGCGGCAGCAGCGCCGCGCCTGCCAGCGCCCCTCCGAGCCGCACGGGCGGCGCTGCGCTGCGCCGTGCCAGGCCGCCCAGCGCCGGCGCCGCCGGCGCCGCCGCCGCGCCGCAGTTGCCCAGCCGCCTCGGCGCGAGCCCAGCGCCCGCGGAGCAGCGCCCGAGCCCCAGCTGCAGCGGCGCGCCCGCCAGCCGCTCGGCGCGCGCCCCCAGCGCCAGCCGCTCAGCTCAGCTGGGGCCGCTCCCCCGCGCTCAGCTCGCGCGCGCGCTCAGCTCGCGCGCGCGCGGCGGGCCGCCGGCTCGGCGCCGCCTGCCCCGCGGCGCGTCACCCCGCGCGCGGCCAGGCAGGCGGAGCGGAAGGCCTCCGCGGTCCCGCCTCCGCAGTTCCCTCCCCCTCCCCCTCCTCCTCCTCTCACCGACCTCCTCCTCCTCGCCTCCCCCTCCCCCTCCCCACCCCCCTCCTCCTCCTCCTCCTCCTTCTCCTCCTCCTCCTCCCAATCTCCTCCTCCTCCTCCTCCCTCCTCCTCCCTCCTCATCATGTGGGAGCTATGCAGCGCAACAGCGGCTACAGCTTGGGAACCCATGCCCACCCAGAGTCGAAGGTAATCGTAAAGATTATCTCCAGAATATTGATCGGGGGATCTGGTCCAAAGCTTACAGCACAATTGAGAAGGCCAAGAAAGCTACCCGCTCGATTTCAGCCCATTAAGTAACCGACACCGTCGCAATATCCGTAACTCTGTAACTCCTCCTCCTCCTCCTTCTCCTCCATCTCCTCTTCCTCCCCCCCCCTCCCCCCCCTCCTCCACCTCCACCTCCTCCTCCTCCTCGGGTCGCCTACGGCCCCGGGGGAAACCGTGCAGCCCGGGGGTGGTTGAGAGAACCGCTGGCGCGGGTGTCGTGCTGCTTCGCGTCGCGCTGCTGGCCCGCGCAACCGCACATGCCCCCCACTGCTGCCCGGACGTCGCGCTGCGCTCCGACGCCGCCCGCTCGGCTACAGGCGCGCCGCTCGCCACGCCGCTCGCCCCCCTTCCCGGATGCCGGAGCCGCGCGAGCGGCTTCCCGCAGGGCTGCAGCCGCGGGCCCCGAGAGGTGCTCAGGGGCCGCGCGCCTCTCTATCCACCCCTCCGCTGGTCTGTCCCGGCGGCGCGCCCAGAGCGGGGACAGGCAGATCCGAGGGGGCGGGCCGTGTCGAAATTCGAGCGGCATTGTGAGGCACCTTGCGCCATCTTGAGCCATCATGGAGGCTATCTCGGGCTCTCTGAGGCCCTCTTGGAGCCGTCTTGGGCCATCCTGGGCGCCCCAACGGCCCGCGGAGCCCTCCGTCCAGGTCGAGGGGAGGGGGCAGGGGGAGGGGTGAACCCCTCCCCGAAGGGGAAGGAGGGGGTTGGAAGAGGAAACTCTCTAGACCACCGACGCCCAGAGGGCTGGTGGGATGCGGGCGGCTTGCTTCTGTCAGGCGATTGCAGACATGGGCCCAGGGGGCGTGGATTAGCGACGGGTCTCGCTTCCACGGGAAGTCGCGGGTTTCCGCCGCCGAACGAGCCGCACTTTGGGGAGGGCACCTCCCCCGATCCATGCTTGCGCGCGCGCCCCCGAGTCTGGCCTTCTGAGAAGCTCTCAGAACCTTTTCCGAAGCCGCGGAGGGCTCCTCAGAAGGGCCGTAGCATCGGCGTCACCCCAACACGCTGATGCTATGTGTGCGTCGCCCCCCCAGGGGCGACGCGCGCGCCGAGACGTGTTGTAGTAGAAGCTCCGTGGTGGGCGTTTCTTGCCATACCGCCGAGGAAACGATGTACTACCCGACGCTTGCACTCGATGTTCGGGTCGGTCGCACGCTTCCGAGGATCGTTGCATTACATCCAACCCCAACACGATAAACCAGACCTTTTTTGGCTCCACCAGCGGTGGTCCTTGCGGGCATAAAGAGGGGCATCGTTTTTGTTAAGGACGGCCATTCCTTCGCGAAAACACAGATGGTAATTGCGGTCATTCCTTCACAGCTCTCTACCCAAGGACTGATAAGGAATGCTCAACGGCCACACGTGTTTTTTTGTCGTATCGGGGTCGATCATCTTGGAACCAGAGGAGGACACGGCCTTAGTGGGCCCTGGAAACGACAGGTCCGTCGCCGTTCTTTCACCGGCTCCCGCTCCAGTTCCAATCCGGGAACCGTTTTCGTTGCCGTTTCCGATCGCCGTTTTTTTGCCGTTTCCATTTTCAAGGGACGTTTTTTCGGAAACGGTGTAAAAACGGCCCTGCCGTTTCCAGGGCCCACTGAGGACACGGCGTGCCAGGACAGGATGCCCCCGCGCCTCCCGCAGCAGGGCCACCGAGCAGCCCACGCCGCCCTTCCCCGCGGGGCCCGCCCCCCCGCCGGCGCGCCCCCGCCCCCCCCCCCCGCGGCACGCCGCTTGGCGACAACACGGCGACAGCACGGCGACAGCACGGCGACAGCACGGCGGACGGCAGCAGCGCGCAGAAGGGCCCGGAGGGGAAAAGATATACGCACAGGCACAATGGATCGTCGACTCCCAGGAGATGATTATATGGGGAAGTGTGGGAAGCGGGCGGGGAAGGAGGAGAGCACCCAGGAAACCCAGGAGAGTGTCGGGAATCATGGGACGACTTGTTCATGCTTGTGTCCCAGGGCCCCTTTGAGGGGGGTGTCTGGGAGAGGGGGGGGAAGGCTTCTTAGAAGCACCCCTGCTTCTTGGAAGGCGCGGGCCTTGTCCGCAGATGTGGGGGGGCTTCTTAGAAGCGCCCCTGCTTCTTTGAAGGCGCGCGCCTTGGCTGTAGATGTGGGGCCCGCGCCTTCTAAGAAGCAGCCTCCTTCTGAGAAGCCTCTCCAGACATGCGACGTCCTGATGGTTTCAGCACGCGGTCCCGACCCTCTCCCCGGGACTGGTTTCTCACCCCGAGTCGTTGTCTGACAATTCCAGGCCCAGCGAGGGCCCCCAGAAGCCGAAAACGGCCTAACACCTTCATTTGTGATGTTTTCTTTCCCCCCGACGGGATCATGTCTGGCTTCCCCTTTCCCTGCCCCCTTCCCAGACCCCCGACGGCGTGGTTGTTTCGCAACGTCGACCCCCCGAGGTCTCGACCCCTTCCCCGGGACCGGTTTCTCATCCTAAGTCGTTGTTTGACGGCCCCGAGGCCCGGGAAGGGCCCCTGGGAGGCCGAGAACAGCGAAAAACTTCCCGTCGGTTTTTTTTTCACAGCGCGAGGGGCTCTGCCTTGTGCCCGCCGCCATGGACGGCAGGCGCCGACGGCGGCGGGGGGGCGACTGCGACGGCGGGCGGCGGGCGGCTTACGACGGCCAGCGGCTCTCGCGACGGGCCCGAGGAGGCCCGACGTCGCGAAGGAACGCGACCGCTCGGCCAAGCCATACGCCGGAGCGCGTGGACGAAGAGAGGCCCAGACCCCCTGGGCGACACTGAAAAACGGGTTCGACTGTGCGGACATTCGCGCGCGCGCGGTCCGCGCAAGGCCGCGCGCAAGCGACCTCGCTTCGAGTGCACAGGGCCGCGCTGGCGGCCCGCGTGAACGACCGCGCAGGGCCACTGCATGTCATCGCGCGAAAGGCACGTTTTGTCGTCGCTCAGGCCCAACCCTCGCTCATGTCGCGCGCCGCGGCCTCCATGCTCGGCTCTCTGGGCCAGAGCACGCCGCGGACGTCGTCGGCGGCGGGCGGCTCACGGCGGGCCACGGCTCGCGACGGGCGACCGGCGGAGGCGGCGGCGTCGGCGGCTGGCGGCCGCCGCGGCGGCGGCGCGGCGGCCGCCCCCCCGCGGCAGGACGAAGGCCGCGGCCTCGGCGGGGAGCCCCGCGAGGCGTGCGGCCGGGAGCCCCGCGGGCCCGAGGAGGCGCG